AACTTTTGGAGCTAAAATACCATATTATTTAAATTTGGGGCAAATATTAAAAAAGTTCCAAAAAAATTTGAACTCAACCATTTCTTACCTTAATAGGATTATTTTGAACAAAAATCTCAAAAATTGTTAAATTTAGCCAAAATGCATCCAAGCGTAAAGTTTTATAAAAAAAATTTTTTTTTTTGTTGTTTTATTTTACATTTGTATTCGAGTAAAGAGACATATTCTTGCTTTTTTTTTAATAATTTTTTTTTGTTCTTTAAATTGTGAAAATTGCAATATTTGATAATACACTTACCACTTTATAATTATTTAAAATAATTTGATTACTTACATATCATTTTGCAATGATTATTTAAGGATTAAACCTTTTTTAGATTAGCAAAAGTTTTAATAAAATATTTTAAATATGGAAGTAGTCATAAAATATATTACATCATAAAGGCTTGGAAACGGCTATGATTCCTCTTGCACTATAAAAATGAGAATACAAATTAGACTCATCTTCCCTCTGTCGATTAATGAATTTTCATACCTTATGTTTGATTAAACGAGCTCCTAATTATTTATACACTCAGTCCGTTTTTAAAACTTTTAAAAGTCGGGTTTTTTATTAAAGAAAATGATAATTTTTGATTTTTTCGATTTTTTTGATTTTTCTATTATTTTGTCGTTTGTTAAAAATTACAAAAAAGAAATTAAAATAATAGAAAATACTGGCCTTAAAATGTTTTCAAACGTTTTTAAAATGTTTTCAAACGTTTTTAAAAATTTACCATTACACTTCAAAAGTGTAATGGTAAAATTAATTTTTTTTTTTTTTTTTAACTAAAGTAGCAAACAAAATTTTTTAAATTAAATAAAGTTTTTTAACATTAGACCTGCGTAGGACAACAGAAGTTGTACAGCAATTTTTCTATTTTTTTTTTAAACAAATTTTTTATTGCATAATATTTCTAAATAAGTCAAATTTTATATGTATATCTAATATAAAATGGATTTATTGAACAAAAACAAAACATCTCAACAAAGCAATGTATTTATATTCTATGAATTTTGCAGTTGTAACATGATGCTCCTAAACCAAACACGATATAAGGAAACTTGAAAAAAGTTCGGAAAGTAACAAAAATCCCTGATGCCTCAAAAGAATATATTTATATGGACGTATAAGAGAAACCTTACTTAAAGCTTTAAAAAAATTGGAGGAAGTACACTGATGTGCAAACTCTCTACAAAGCCAACAAAAAGCAGATCATTGAAGTAAACAAAGATATAATTACAAACTGTAATTACTTCTTTGTTTACTTCAATTGATAGAGACAGTTGTCAAGGTAAAATCTCTTAATTAAACCTAAATAAAGTTGAATATCTTCCAAAAGACTAAACTTTTTAAAAACATTTACATCTATGTTAAATTGATAAATATATATTAAAAAAAAGAAATTAAAAAAACTTAGTTCAGTATCAATATACAATATGGTATCAACACTACAATACACAGTGGGCTAGGTGGTGGAAAAAAGTATAAAAGAAATGTTCTCAAAAATGACATTGTTATATACCATTTTATAGCTTAAACATCCGGCTTTTATAAAATGTATATATTTCTGTATAACTATCATGCCGTTTGCATTTTAAGCTGTTAATAAAAAAGGTATTTTTTTTTTTTCGAGATTTTTGTTTTTGTTGTTGTTTTTTAATTTAATAATATTTTTCGTGTTAGTAAAATTGGTATTAATTATTAGAACTTCATTTTCTTATTGAGTAATTAAATAAAACTAAGTATTATCTATCAAATAAGCTATTGCAAAATTATTTTGCACGTAAGCTATATAAAATAAATTGATTTCTAATGATGGCGTATTTAAAGCACTTTTTTTAGTGAAAATTTCATTTAAATAATAAAATACTTTTGCGCTCCAAGGTGCTCCAGAAATTTGAGACTTGAAATATCTTGCCCAATATCTACATTATCGATATATATTTAACCTATTGTCGGCGGGTGTCATCTGCGTCTCTATTAATGATTTTTACAAGTTTCATCTTTGGGGCAGGGGGGCCAACAATCTGGCTTTTCTTTGTGTTCCCAGGCTCCAATCATCACAATTTTTTAGCAAATCATATTTTTATCACATTAAAATAAGCATATAAATATTTGGAGTTTATTTTATCTCCAAATGTCCATAAATAGTATATTTTTTGTATTTGTAGGCTGAAAATGAAATATTTTGATATCTATGCATTCATTATGCATAAGCCTAATAATCTACAAATATCTGACTCTGACATTGTGGACAAACTTATTGATGCTATGAATTTGGATTGCAACAAGCAGCAATTAGGAACTATAATAACGCATCTACGAGATAAGTGGCGCAAGTCATATTGCAGCATGGCTCGATTTGAAGAAAAGAACAAAAAATGGCTGCAAAGCCATGTTCCTGAAAATTTAAATGTAACATTAATACCTATTGGAAGACCAAATAAGACAAAATTTGATGACTAATCTACTAAAACCAAAAAACATAAAGTTAGTCACTTAACTGAAATGTATTCTGCTTCTGCGTTGTAATTTGATTCAGAAATTAAACGGAGAAAAGAAAAACCAACTAAAAAAACCTCAAAAAAAGATTGTAGAATGTCTAAAGATGAAGCTTTTTGTCTTCTTTTAGATGCTAGATTGACAAAAGCTTCCTACCAAAATATTCGAAATTAAGCAGTTGAAAATGGAGTTGATATATATCCTCCATATAATGATGTTCGGTATGCAAAGCTGTTACGCTATCCTGCAGATATATCTGTCTCAGACTTTTCAGCTGAAATAAAATTGCAAGCTTTGGTCGATCATACAGCAAATAGAATATGCAAGACACAGTATGATATCCTCAGCACTGAAGGCACTCCAGATAGACTTTCTCTGAGATACAAAATAGGTTTTGATGGTGCCAGAGGACAGTCTATATATAAACAAATATCGCAAGGATCAGTAAAAAGAAATTTAAACAATGAGCAGGCACTTTTTATTACTTGCCTAGTGCCATTGGACTTGTGTGGTTTTTCAAATGGAAAACAGTACCCAGCTTGGGGAAATCCACGACTATCATCAACAATGTACTGTACACCTCTGTGTTTTAAATTTGAAAAAGAAACGGCAGCAGTTTCTAAATCAGAAAAGGATCTCATTTGGGTTGAGATTTCAAACTTGCAAGATACTGAAGTTGATATAAATAATAAAAAATCAAAATACATCATATAATACAAATTACAATGATTGATAGAAAAGTTCATACTGCTTTTTCAGATGTTACAAATTCAAGTCAATGCTGTACTATATGTGGGGCAAGTCCTAAAGCAATGAATGATATTGAAAAAATGGTTTTGAAAAAGGGTATGGCAGGTAGTTATTCATTTGGTTTATCATCCTTAGATGCTTGGATACGAATTTTTGAATGTTTTGAAAATACATATTGGACATAAAATAACTTTGAAAAAGTGGCAGACAAGAACAGCAGAAAATAAATCTAAAGTAAAGGTTCTGAAAAAACAAATTCAAAATAGATTTAAAGATGAAATGGGCTTGATAGTTGATGTTCCGAAATCTGGCGGTAGTGGAACATCAAATTTTCCATCATTTGGAAAATTTGATGGAAAACGGTTCGAAAAGCATTTCAAAATGCGGAAAAGTTTGCAAAAATTTTAAATATTGATGTTGAACTAATTGAATTTGCATATTATATTGGCAACAATTTCATGTGGTTTAGATATTGACACTGATAATTTTGAGGCTTTCTGTTTAAAAACAGCTCAACTTTATGTTCATCATTATCCTTGGTACTATATGCCACAATCTCTCCACAAAATTTTAATCCATGGTTCTGGAACTATCAAAAGTTTAGCATTACCCATTGGTATGTATTCTGAAGAAGCTCAAGAAGTACGCAATAAAGACTTTCAAAACTATCGTGAACATTTTGCAAGAAAATCATCTCGTGTGAAAACTAATCAAGATATGTTAAATCGACTTCTGTGTACATCTGATCCATTTATTGCATCTCTGAGAAAGACAGCAGGAAGTTACACCAAAACGAAAAACTTACCAGCTGGAGTTATTGACTTATTGAGGTCATCCACAGATGATATTAGTTTATAAATGTATCTTTTGTATCTTTATAATTTTGGAAATGTCTGTACCTATATGAAAGTGTGACTGTAAATTAAAACAATTAATTATTCTCAATCCTTTAGAATCATCAAATTAATTTGCATACCAATTTGAGAAACATTTGGCTAAAATAACCCTTAGGAACTAAGCATAAATATGTGTTGCTATGCAAATGGGGTTGCCTTGGCAACCACACCAAAAAAGCAATGCTTATTTAAATAATAATCATCCAATTAAATTTATATACCAATTTTTGGGGCATATGGATAAATGGAAAAAAAGTTATGAATTTTTTCCAAAAATATGGGATTCTGGCCCACTGTGCAATACCAGTACAATACAGTATCAACATACAAGATAGAATAAACATTAATTTGGGTTTATAATTGCTTTCCCTCTTTGCTCTGATTTCAATTTTTGATATATACTTATTTATATTGCATTATTTTTAAAAACACTTAGCGCAATTTTTTGTGATTGATAACTTTCATGATCATCTCACTTTTGTCTTATTTTATTTTTTTTAATTACTCTGATTTTTTTTAATTACTCGGTTTCTTTTTTAATTACTTTTTTTAGTTACTCGGTTTCTTTTTTAATTACTTTTTTTAATTACTCAGCGTGATACTGGTTTTTAAAATATAACTAGCAGTAAGCAACTTGTAATACGCGTTGTTAGTAAATAAAATTAAAAAAAAAACCGCGTATAGAAAAGCCTAGAAACTACTTTAAAATAGAAAAGCCTAGAAAATGACGTAAATCGACTAATAATATTAAATTAGCGTATTAATATTATCAGATTTGATACCGAGTTGTAAAAGAAAAGACGGAAAAATAATAAAGACTGTTATATTTTGAAAAAAAATGTACAAAAACTATTTACAAAAAATAATAAATTTTTATCACAAATCTCTCCCTAAACGTTCTATTTCGTTTACAACAAAGTCCATGTCATCATACGTCACGGCTGGGTTGATAACGGTCATTCTCCAAAAATTTACATGTTCTTTTAATGGTTGATAACCACAAAGCATTGTTCCTTCTAGTGTCATTCTTGATTTTATAATTGGAGCAATTGAATGTAGTTTAGCATTTTTTTCTGGACCATCATTCATTTTTTTAATGCTAGGAGGGTAGTAGTAAAAACAAACGTTTGTGCACTGAGGCTCTATGATAAGTTTAAAATTTTCTCGTTTTTTAATAACATCTGCAAGATATCGCGAAAGATTGAAAACTCGGTCAATCTGCTCTTCCATCCCTTTGTCACCTTTCGCTTTCCACATTAGCCATAATTTAAGTACGTCAACGTTTCGTCCGCATTGTATTGTTTTATCACCTTGATCCCACTCTTTAGCGTTGTATAGCCGTTTATCTTTTTGGAATAAATAAGATGCACCGTCAACACTTTCTCTATTGCAAGATGCAAGTATGTCTTTTTTTTTTGTAAAAAGAATTGAGCATTGAAACAAACATCCCATTAGCTTGTGAGGGTTCCATGTCACAGAGTCCGCTCTATTATAAAAATTACCTTATTAATATTTGTAAAGTGGCTTTATAAATTTAAAGCTGTATATTGGAACGGTTTGATTTTGAAGAACATTGTAAAGATGAGGTAAAAATTACCAAGTAATTTCTGACAAAAAATATAATTTTTGGTATTGGTATCAACAGAAATTATTTTTTATGTTATATTTAAGCAGAAGTTATAAGAAGTTATTTTTTTTATTTAGCTTTTTTTTTTTTTTTAAAAAAAAAAAAACAAGGCTAAACGAAAAAAATAGATTTTTTATAAATAAAAAGTTTTTTGCCGATCAAACAAATAAACTTTTAACATATGAGTGTTTTAAAATGATTTAGCGTCAGTATAATATGGTATTATATATATATATATATATATATATATATATATATATATATATATATATATATATATATATATATATATATATATATTATATATATATATATATATATATATATATATATATATTATATATATATATATATATTTAACAGCTTTTTATTTTCTAAGATTAAAAATAGTCAAAAATTAAAGTTTAATATATTCTTCAAATAAAGAAATACTTAACAAACTCATTTTAAAAGTTTGTAAACTTTTTAAAAGAGCACTTTTTTTCTTGAAAAAAATTAGGACACCATTTAAAACTTTTTTTATTCAAACTTTATGAAAAGAGAACTTACCGTTCTACACCTGCCATTAAATGCTTATATTTACGTGATAACAAAGATCCGCCTCCCCAAGCACCATCAACATGAAGCCACAATCCATACTTTTTGCATATGTCTGCAATATCATTAATTGGGTCAAAAGCACCTAAAACTGTTGTTCCTGCAGTTGCGCACACGAAAAACGGTTCTTCTCCACGCGACAAACTTGCCTCAATTTGTTCAACTAAGTCTTTTACAATCATTTTTCCTCTAGTATATATATATATATATATATATATATATATATATATATATATATATATATATATATATATATATATATTATGTTGAAAAACAAAAGTATTAATATTATTAATTACAATAAAAAAAACAACAATTTGTTAACATAAGCAAAATTTACGGTAAAATAGATAGTTTTTTTATACTTTTCGTCAGATTTTATCTTTTTAAGGTTGTTGGTGCCAATGCCTAATGTTGCAGCTGCTTTATCAGATGAGTAATGCGCCTCCTCAGAGACAAAAGCAACTAATTGTTTTCCTCCATAAAGACCTTCTTCTTTAAGATTTGGATGAAAACTATATTAAAAAAAAGGTTTTTTATTAACATTTAAAATAATTAATTATTTTTGTTTAATTCCTTTACAAGATAATTATTTATTACAAAATTTTTTCTTTTTAGTTTATCATTAGCTGCTCATACTACTTTCATTAGGCAATTAGTTTAATTTACGAGTTTATTTAAAAAACTTTTAGTCGTTATAATTTTTGAAATAGAGATATATTTTGTATTGGAATACAAAACTTACTGATACTTGGCAATGCTCATAGCCTCCATGTTTGATATTGAACCTCCAGGAAACATCTGTGCATCGCCATTAGAATAACCTATTATTGACTTCATTTTGTCGAGAAGATATTTTTCCATCATTATATAAACAGGTCCTACTTCGTAAGTAAACCTAAAAATTTGCAGAATATTTTCAGAAAAATTTAATCTCTGAATGTTAAACGCACAAAATTAAAAAATAAAATAAAAAAATAAAAAAAAACTTTACATTAATGTATTGGTTGTTGTACTGATCCATTGTCCCATCAAACATGTGATGTCCAAACCGGAGAACAGTTGGTTGAAAAACCGAGGATGACCTAAAACACGATTTTTGTTGTTCAGAATTAATTAGCAACATTTTATGTTTGATTAAAAGAATAGCGAAGAATAAATCTAGTTAAGCATAGAGGAACATTAGGAAATTTTTATTTTTAAGAAATTGCTTACTTCATTGACATTAATGTCATTGTGAGGCAGGGTGAGCTAGGGGGCAAGTTATGCAGTTAAAATATCTCAAAAACTTCGCATTGCATGATAAAACATCAACAAAAAAAAGGCAGTTAAAGAGCTAGAATGGTAACATAACGGTTGATTAACATAATACATTTATAAATTAGTAATTTTTTAATCACGCTTCAAGTTCAAGGTAATTAAATAAAATAATATTTTTATATTTTATGACAATTTTTTACAACTTTTCTCCTCTTTTACTTAAGTCATTAAAGTATGTGAAACAAAAAGTTTAAAAATTATTGAGCTTTATGCTAACAATATCTTTGTTGATGGTTTATAAAAGTTCCATATTAAGTACCTTTTTGCTGATTGGTCAATTTGGCCAACAGAGTTGCTTAACCTACACCGTAGGGCAAGTTGAGCAGCTCGTTAAACTTTAAGTAATTTTTTTTTTATAAAAATCAAAAAGTATACACTTTTTATTACAAATTTTGAGTTGGTTTTACTTAAAGTATAGGTTTTAAATTAAAAAATTATCTTTTTAATAGTGAAAAATTATGTAAATCCGACGCACCGTTTATAAGATCTGTTAAATTTAGTAAAAACTGCTCAAATAGCCCCGCTCTACCCTACGCATAGTGCTTTTTGTTCGAAAAACAAATCAGAAAAACAAACTAAAACTATCTAGTAATAATTAAAAAATACCTGTTTTTACAGCATATTTTAGCACTTTATCTGTTATACACAGGATCTCTTGAAGATTTTCCCCCTCGTTTTTAAAATTAAAGTCAATTTCTTTCTGCAATTGGGATGGATCAATATAGTGTATAACTTTGCTGGTTCTATCATTAGAGGATTTAATAAAATCACACAGCTTTGACACCACTCTTACAATAACCTCTTCTGTTATTTTTTCGTCAGCAGCATACGGGAAAAAATCTTTAAAAGTTTTAGACTTGTTAACTTAATTATTATATATATATATATATATATATATATATATATATATATATATATATATATATATATATATATATATATATATATATATATACATATATATATATATATATATATATATATATATATATATATATATATATAATATATATATATATATATATATATATATATATATATATATATATATATATATATATATATATATATATAATATATATATATATATATATATATATATATATATATATATATATATATATATATATATATATATATATATATATATATATATATATATATATATATAATATATATATACATATATATATATATATACATATATATATATATACATATATATATATATATATATATATATATATATATATATATATATATATATATATATACATATATATATATATACATATATATATATATATATATATATATATAATATATATATATATATATATATATATATATATATACATATATATATATATATATATATATATATATATATATATATATATATATATATATATATATATATATATATATATATATATAATATACATATACATATACATATATATAATATATATATATATATATATATATATATATATATATATATATATATATATATATATATATATATATATATATATATATATATATATATATATATATATATATATATAATGTATAGTGTAACGAGGGGCAAAATGAGACACTTAAGCGCTAATACATCTAATACAGCCCGTCTAACAACTTTTGAAAAAATAAATTGATATTTTTCAATTCTTCTACGATCCTACTTGAAGCCTAAAAAGTATGAGTTGCAAAACTGCAGTAGTTTGGTCACCAGAGATCATTTATTGACAGCACATATCCTGTCTCATTTTGCCCCGCATACCGGGGCAAAATGAGACAGATTTTTTTTTTTAGTAATTTAAATAAATAAAGTTGAAAAAAAACAGATCTTTAAGAGGATTAGCAAGTAATACATTTTATAATATATTACAGCTATAATCAAACTGTCACTAGTTACATAAATCACATATTGCTTGACCAGTATTTTGAAACGAACAACAGTCCGAATGAGCCCAGGTTGTGCATTATGAAAATTGACTCTACTTATATATATATATATATATATATATATATATATATATATATATATATATATATATATATGTATATATATATATATATATATATATATATATATATATGTATATATATATATATTATATATATATATATATATATATATATATATATATATATATATATATATATATATATATATATCCACTACAAGAACTAATAAAACCATACATGCATATATTAAACTTTCGTATTTAAAGCACGCATAACATTCATTGTATTTTGTTTATACGTACTGCAATAATCTATATGTTATAATCTACTCACTATATATTTTATATACTACTTACTTTATTACATTACAATACAATAAGATTATAAAATACAAACATAGTAATTATAAACATCAGGCAATTATTTGCTTCAATTTGATTAAATATTTATTATATTTAAATATAAGTTAACAAAATATAAAACGTAATTCTTTATTGGATAACAACTAAACATTTTAATTAACAAAATAAAAAGTAAGTAAATACAGTATAATAAATTTAAATCTACAGCATGTAAATATTAATATTTGCTTTGGTTGTTGTTTTAATTTAAAAAATTAAATAAACATAATATTAGATACCGGCAAAAAAAAAATACAAACAGAATGTCTCGTTTTGCCCCGCATCATGTTGGCATCGAATATCCTAATTTCCAGACTATTTTATTGAAGAAATAAAATACCAAAGAATGGAAATGAAAGAAAAAGGCTTAAAGATTCTAATTAAAAAAAAACTTTAAATATAAAAAGCTTTTCCACTCAGTGAGATCAAAAAAGGCTAGGAAAAAATATAATAACAACTCTTAAAATTTTGTAATTTTCGCGAAGCCGAGGGATGAAATGATTCCCCTTTTACTCAACTTTTTTATTTCAAAGTGACTCAATATATTTTTCATGACACAAAATAGTTTTTTAACACAACTACACTTTTAAAAATCTTGCAAATAATAATTTGTAGGGCTAGCATTATGTTAAACGCGAACTGTCTCGTATTGCCCCGCTGTCTCATTTTGCCCCGCGTTACCCTATATATATATATATATATATATATATATATATATATATATTATATATATATATATATATATATATATATATATATATATATATATATATATATATATATATATATATATATATATACATATATATATATATATATATATATATATATATATATATATATTATATATATATATATATATATATATATATATATTATATATATATATATATATATATATATATATATATATATATATATATATATATATATATATATGTATGTATCAAAATATCAAAATGTCAAAAAAAGTAGAACCTTTATAAGTGTTATCTTTTAAATGGATTTTCTTTCGCACAAGTTTTTCTTTTTTAGTGACAACGTGTTCTCGGTGATCAATGGCAATCTTAGGTTTTTGTAACGTCAGCATTGCCTCGATTTTATCAACGTAACGGTTTTTTTTCATGGAACTTATAGCAGACATGTCGCGAGTGTCAATATCAATGGTTCGCTATTCTCTTTTAAGATCTTCTTTCCAGTATTTTCTGCGAGAACTACGTTTTTATTTCTTGGGTTTTTGCTTAGTTTTGCGTTACTTCGGTTCGAAGCTTTCAGTTTAAACTAGACATGAGAATATTATAACATGCTTCCAGCTTTTTTATACACTTTGCATTAATTGCTCATTTTCTAAATATAAATTAACTTTCAAAACGTCACAAACAAAAATAACTTATTCTTTTATTACATTAGACGTGCGATTATTTGTAAAATCCCGTTGCGATGACGACAAAAAATTGGTTCTCTCTTATCTCAAATTTAAAAGAAAAAAAACTACCACAACTTAAATGAATACAAATCTTTTTTATTTAAAGGCAATTTGATTAATATTGCAACAATTACACAAAAAAGTGCTGTGTTACGTTTTCTTAGTTTTCATTTGAAAGAATGCTTAATTAAGCTCATTTAAAAAATCATTAACTTGACAGGTTGAGCAATAAAGTTAAAATTCATCGTCATTCCCCTCTCCCATAATCTAAAGAAACAAACGCTGACTTAAGAAAATTGTATCTTCGACGCAAATTCCCCTTGCTTAGTTTTTAAATAAAGATAAAATACACTTGCTGCAAAAATAAAAATAAAATGTTAAAAGATTTGTATTAAATAAATCTTTAATATGATCAGAAAAAAAATTAAATTAAAAAAAGTATTTATAGTTATTTATATAAATAATATTATATTTCGCTTATATTATTATTATTTTTTTTTTTAATGTTTTTACTAAACTTAATAATTAAAACAACTTTGTTAATATAATTGCTTTAATTTTAAAATCTTTTTTTAATTGTATCAAATTTATCAAAAATCTTTTAATAAAAAATCTCTAAAAAAAACGTTATCAAAGCTATTGAGTTAAAAAACAAACTATAAGAATAATTTCACTAGTATCTTTTTTTGTTGAGGTTTTGTTTTAAAGATAGGATATGGTAAAATACTCTTGCCTAATAAAATGCGCATTAAATAAAAATGCGCGTAAATTAGAGGTTGTACGATCTATTTTCTTTTATACTGTTATTTAGTTATTTTTTTTTTTTGTTTCTGTTTTTTCTTATTTTTTTTTTTTTTCTTTTTTTTTTAAATATTTGAAAAAAATAAACTTGAAGTTGTTAAATAGCGATCAAAAAAGTTAAAATATGTATTTTTAAGAATATAATATATTCTTTTATAAATGAGTTAATAATATATTTATTTATTAAAGAAATATATTTATATACACTGGAAACTAATGATTAAAAGGTGCAAATGAACCTAAAGTTAAAAATAGTTAACTGAGATAAATAGTTAATTATTTTAAAAGCAATTTTAGTACAACTTTAGTAATTATTTTAAAAACAATTTTACATTTATTTTTACCTACTTAGGATTTAAAAAAAGACTTTTTTTTTAATTTTTTTTCTTTGAATCTAGGCAGATAGGTGTTAAGTTTAACATTTTATGTTTTGCTTGAAGTTTTTAATTTTTAATTTTAAAGTTTTAATATTTTTGTGATTTTACAATAATAATATTATCTTAAACATAAGATTTGAAAAAATATTTTTTGGGTAATTTTAATTTGATGTATTAAGCATTAGTGATAAATTTGACTTGACCAATTTTTAACTTTATAAGTGCATAATAGTTACAGTTTCTTTGAGTAACAAGATGAATGTTATTTTTTTTTAATGAAATTATATATATATATATATATATATATATATATATATATATATATATATATATATTATATATATATATATATATATATATATACAGAGGCGATTTCACAAGGAGGGAGGTATGGGGGTTCCCCCAAAGAAGGTGATTTTTAAGTTATAGTCGGTTAAATTTTTGTTTTGAGGACCTTTTCTATTTTTTTTTTAAGAAGCTAGTCGGTACTTTTTGAGGATTCACCCCCCCCCTCCTTATTTTATTCGTAGAATCGCCTCTGTATATATACAGTAAATTGTATTAAAGTGAAAAAACACAAAAAGACGAATAATCAATAACCACGAACCACAAGGGTGAACGTGACAAAACACAAGCGAGAACGTGACTCGTTTCGCTGTTGGTTTTATTTTAGGTGTTTTGTTCTTTTTAGATGTCTTCTTATGGCGAAACGACAAGAACTGAGTGACTCAATCGGAAGTCAGAATAAAACCTAGTAATCTTTACTTTGTTAGATAATACCGCGCCATTACGATAGTTTGTTAAAGTAAAATATTTCTTCCATTTTCTCTCTTAGCTAAATAAACAAAATCTTATTCTTAAATAGGTAAACGTATGATAAAATGCAAGATTTTTAGACGAATATTTAAAAAAGATGTATATACATCCAAATATATATATATATATATATATATATATATATATATATATATATATATATATATATATATATATATATATATATATATATATATATATATATATATATATATATATATATATATATATATATATATATATATATATATATATATATATATATATATATATATATATATATATATATATATATATATATATATATATATATATATGCATCTATTTTTTTTTTCACTATTTGGCGCAAAGTAAGTAAAGCGCTTACTTATACCTCAGTCCTTTCTCACTCATCTCATTCGACTCTTGCACAAAAACTATAAAAATTTTCCCCTCTACTATGTGACTTTACTTGCATTTGCTTTAGTGGGGAGGTATTTGTATTGCTCATGGTTTTTAAATAATTCAATACCTTGTCAATATGCTTATATTTACTTTAACTACAATTGTATTTACAATGCTCATATAAATGTGAATATTGGCAGTTTATATTGATAATGTTAATAATAGTCATACAAATACAATGAGGTAGTAACATTGTTGGTATCAGATACAATCAAGGCCGGCGCGATAGGGGGGTGTCTAGATTACCGACTAACCAATAACGACCCTTTCGTTATTGGTTAGTCGGTAATCTAGACAGTCGGCAAATATCGTCATGGCAGTCGGCGAATTTTGGAAAACGAGGACCTTTTTTTTTTTTTAGTCGGCAAAATTTAATGGCACCCCCCCCCCCCCTTCACGTGACACCTACTCGCGCCGGCCCTGGATACAATGAGCTGATAGCATCGATGAAGCATATCAAACATGTCATAAAAACTAAATAAAAATGTTGATTTTTAGTTTTTAATAAAAAAAATATCATGTGTCAATTAACGAGACAAGAAAAGCAAGAAGAAAAAATTTTATAACAGTAAATTTACAAGCACGTTTGCTCAATATTAGAAGTAATAGTTAAATTCAGAAAAAATAATTTTTAAATTTATTAAATTGATTAACTTTTATAACATCAAGAACACTAGTGTTGGTTTAAATTGTTTTATCAATATACTGGATCTTAGTTAATTGAACAACGAACTTAGTTATTACCGGTAATGTGTAACTTAGTTATTACCGGTAATGTTTAACGGAAATGTTTAAGCTTTACTGATTAAATAAAGTCTTAGCTTCGGTAATTTCAATCTTTATGAGCTCATTGCATAAATAAAACCATTTTAAAATTTATTTTCAGACATACACAACCTGTTTAAAATTTTTCTTTCGTCAACTGTGTTTCGCAATCGTAGTTCTTAATAATTGTTGTAATTGCTGATATAATACCACGTTTCACTTTATAACTCTAAATTTTACTTACCAAAATTTTTAGAACTTTTTTTATTAGCAACTTGATCGACTTGATTCGGTTTCTTTACATCTATAAAAAGAAAATAACTTAGAATTATCGGAATATAAAGATATTAGCCAACAAAGAAAATATAAAACTAGTGTCGCGCTTGTATTAACGTACGTAAAATTTGGCTTGCGGTTCAAATCGCAAAACCTCGACTGCAATAGGAGATTAATTTCTTTTGAAATGACCAAAATCGCTTCCAAAAATATTTGCCATAAACCGCGAAATGCGTCTGCCTAAAAAGTATCAAACATTGTCGAAATATCGTCCATAAATTACGCAACGTAAATTGTCGGAGATAATTAAGCTCTTTTACGCGGCGATTTTCATTAAACTGAATATTATAATTTTGAGCTATTTTGATTAATATTATTATTTTTTGCTATTTCGATTTATATTTCAATTAAGCTCTGCGAGAGTAAACTTCTGATCTTTTTTGTTTTGTTTATTGTGAAAGTTTGCGTTACGTAATATATGGACGATCCCTTAGTAAAAAAAAAGTATTAAAAACACACTTATTTTAACGCAATAAATTATGAAAATAATATATGGTAGAAATATCAGTGATCAGCCATGCTCCATTAGTCAGCCGTTTTGTTGTTAAATCTATCATAAATAGCGCTATGAATCTACTAAACCAATAGCACATATTTTGATAGTCTCAAAATATGTGCATTGATTTATTTTACAATGTAATTTGGTACAAATGACAAACTAGTAGTGAAAAGGTAGATTAAGCTTGAGAGTATTAACAAAAAATGTTTTTTAGCAAATAAACATTTGTATATATGTTATTTTTGATTTATATTTCTTTTTTAATTAATACTTTTTTTAAGTTGTATTTCATTCTTCAATTTTTCAATGATTTACATTTCTTTATTTTTGAGACTAATCTGTCTAAAAAAATGGTAATAATGTGTTTTTCTATAAAATTTTTCCATTACAGAAATTCACACTAAAAAGCTGAGTACTGGTGATTCAACATTTTTTACTTTATTGTATGATTTCCCAGTGGGACGGGACCAAGAAAGACATCTTTTGAAGGTTCAAAAGACGTCTAAAACGTTCAATAGACGTTTAAAAGACATCTTTTTTACGTCCTGTGCCCACTGAGTTATTTTTATAATAACCAGTGGGCACAGGACACTAATGCTCTATAAAAACACTTACGCAAACAAACTAATGACTCAACTGCATTAGATTTTAATAAGAAAACTAATGAGTTAATGATTTATTGGGGGAACTAATGACTCTTTTTTTAAGTAAACCTACGATTTGGTTAATTATTTTAACAACTGTAATCTTATTAATATTTTAATATTTAAAAATAAATTTATAGAGTACAATATAGGGTAACCTGTGGCAAAGCAAGACACTTTCAGGGAAAATGTTCATAACTTGA